CAACGATACACAGTACACGCACCAACACGCACTTGCGACCGGGCACTTCCCAACAGCCGCGTCGCATGATAAAACATTCACCCCGGGTGATACTACAGAGATTACCCGTTGCGGAGCCACGCGCGGCACAGGTAGAACCAGCGGTGGCGGAAGCGCAGCCGCCTCAGGAGAGCCTAGCGGCGACATCTGCACCACGGAACACCGAAGTGCCATGCATGCCGCCCACGCCGTTAATGTCGGCACTACAGCTCCCGATAATGACTCCCGCGCCTCTTCCGTTAATAGACGCGATCGCGGAAGTTGTAGGGTATGATTTCCCGATCGGTCCGATGGAACAGCCTTCCGACGATTTTGAGTCGCCGTCGGGAGAAAGCGAAAGCGAGGATGACGAGGCTTGGAAGCCTAAATAGGAAGAGACGACTCGTTGATTAATACATATACATATATAAAATACACGTTTCTTTTATTTAGTTTTGATTTGCATAACTCGCTTGACAAAATAGTCAATTACTTTATTTTCGTTTCATTTTCATTTATGCCATGATAGATTTTATTTTAAGGTTACACTTACGGCGCTTCTGAGAGATATATTAAGTTGCATTGACAGCCCATATGGCTAAATACATTTAGTTTTGCGTATCATTAGAATATAGGCTCGGCAAGACGGTAGAGACCGCGCGTAATTTTAGTTTAGAATTATATCCGGCCGACCGGTACAAAACCACGTTTAGTTGATAGTTTGACTTACCGCCGATAAAAAAGGTCTTATATAATTTAGCGGTTGTCGGTACAGATTAAGCGCTAGTGATCGTACGACGATAAGCGCATTTAAGCGGAACGCCAATATAAAGTTACGGCGATAACCCGTATCGGGAGCACGGAGAATCATCCCTCGGACCCGGTACCCGCGTTCATAAGGTGGACGCCAAGGAAATGCCAAGTTCTTGAAAAAAACCATCTTCTCCAGGAACAACCAGGCTGAATCGTCACCCGAGGACCTGGGACACAGCTCCAAGGGGTGCGCGCCATGACCCGGTAAAAATCCCCGGAAAACGTAATTTTGCCAGGAACTTATCGATCCGACGGTCTTACCAGAACCTGGGACACCCTCCCAGGGGGTCGGCGCCATTGTCCGACAAAATCCGGGCGAAACGCACTTTCGCCAGGAACTTATCTATCCGACGGTTTTACCAGGACCTGGGACACCCTCCCAGGGGGTCGGCGCCATTGTTCGACAAAATCCGGGCGAAACGCACTTTCGCCAGGAACTTATTGATCCGACGGTCTTACCAGGACCTGGGGCACCCTCCCAGGGGGTCGGCGCCATTGTCCGGCAAAATCCGGGCGAAACGCACTTTTGCCAGGAACTTATCCATCCGAAGGCCTTACCAGGACCTAGGACACTTGCCTAGGGGGTCGACGTCGAGCTCCGACAAAGATCCCCAGGAAACGCATCATCCACGGGAACAGTGGCCCGGAACAGCGATACCAGCTTCCGAGAAACCTAGCCAGAGGGTCGGCGTCAACGGCCGACGACATCGACGTCACCCGGACGTCATCTACAGGGACAACACCCAAATTCATCGTCAGGGGCATCTCCGAGGAGGTGCGCATGGGTCGACGTCGATCGCGTCGAACATTTTCCGCGAGTGAAAACCTGGTGCAGCGGTACCGAGGAAGGAAGGTTCTCGCACTGCGTTGCGCGTGGAAATTTCCATGGGGACCTTCCAGAACGGGCATAAGTGAAAGATGCGCAAAAGGGCACGCGAGAGGGTAGTGAAAATCATCGTGTTTTCGCATGATCGCGCCAGATGTGCCGGCCGCGAACAATAGACGATCGTGAAAGTTCCGAGGAGTGGGAACGATCCGGCATAAGTGGGGAGCCCAAGCGAGAGCGACCGCTCGACGCAGTCTCTCGGGTATAGCCGTGGCGAATACACGTATCACACTCTGTACGATCGGCATACGCGTTATACTTTACAACCGAGAACTCCCGCGTACTATCGCGTAAAATTACTCGTCTTAACAACAGCGAGGGGCAATTAATTGCCAAATACAATCGAGTGTTAGCAACAATACGCGAGTTGAAATTCGGATACATTGTTAATTAACGGAAGTGCAATTATCGAGTATATAACAACCACGGGCATTGGGTCACGCGGATACGGAATATTGTGCGGACATTATTAATTATTGTATTTAACCACCGAATACTCGTTCGTTACATCTGCGCACGAACATTGTATGATAGAGTGATGGTCACGGCCGAGTGCGTGATCATAGTTTAACAATCACGAGGAACAAAGTCCTCCGATCGGAATAATTATTTGGAATAAAAGCATCGTATCGACTAAACGAATAAGCCGAGATACGCAATTTGATTAATTGTGCAACTTTATTAAAATAAAGCGACATTCACACCGAGGCGAGAAACTCGCGTTGTGAGACACCTTTATGATATTGTGAAACGGCCTGTAATGTTGAAATGATGATCTGGAATTAAAGATTAATTAATTCTGAAACAAATTTTCTTGATTAATTATAAAAAATTATCGATACTTACCTTCTACTTACCTTGTCCTTCGGCGATGATCCAACGTTGGCCAGCGGCAATCCGGTATGCGATGTAAAGCGAGGATCCGGGGAAGCAGAGCAGCAACAGAGCAGCGATCCATCCGAGGCGGGAACTGAAAAAAGAGAAGCGAATTAGTACGTAATTAAACATAATTATCGGGACTTATCCTTATCTGGTATGCGAGGTAAAGCGAGGATCCAGAAACGGATAACGGCAACGGCGATCTATTCCGGACGTCGATCTGCAATAAAACATAAAATAATTAGCACATAATTATTTTATCATTACTTACCTCTATCTGGTATGCGATGTAAAGCGAGGATCCAGGGAT